CCAGCTACACTACATATCCACTGCGCATCGCCCCTTACACCATCTCAACCTCCAACCTAGGCTCAAAACATGCTCCATGGCAAAAAAAATTACTTATCAGCTGGTGCAAATTCAAATCCCTCGACTTACCCAAGATCCCACTGCCCAGCTCTCAGTCCCCAGGGGATGCTTCTTGTGATTAATCCTCAGCCCCTTGCCACATGTCACAGCTGCAGCAGAGGCCGATGGGGGCTGAAAGGAGCCCAGCCAGCCCAGGTGTAGGGCTCCTTTAAAGGTACGTTTGCTCTGTAGTCCCAATGCAATCACTTAATCTGTCTAGACTTTGGTTTCTTAAACTACAAAACTGGCTAAGGAGGAAGGGAAGCACAGTAACTTGGGGTTCTGAAACTGGGGCTGTCATGGAGTCATCTGGAGGGCATGTTGAGGCACAGATGGGGCAGCACCCTCTCCCCCAGAACCTCAGCTCCAGGAGGGCTGGGCGGGGCCTGGGAGTGGACACGCCTACCAAGCTCCCAAGTGATGCCAACACCACACTTTGGGAAGCCACTGTGCTTATAGCTGATCCGTAAGACCTCTCCCAGCCCTGAAATTATAGATTTCAATTCAGTCAAAAAAAATTCTCATTATTCTATTATCAGAGAGTTAACAAAGAACAAGAAAAACTTCACCTGTCTCACTTCCACATGAATTGAATTGTTTCCCCTATTTTCTGTCCCTCAACTGGATGCTAATTCTTATTCACATTATATAGTTCACACGGCATCTTTAACAGTACTAGACATTCAGGAGGCAATTAATACATCGTTTTAAATGGAATAGCCCAACCAGACTGTTTTCCAGAGATCAGAACACAGAGCAGAAAAGGCCCAGGGATGTGTGCCGTCAGGAGCCCCTCAACTGGGGGGGCCCCTTTGACAGCTTCTGGGTAAGACTCAAATAGACAGGGTGCTTTCAGACTACCCGTATCTGCTCCTACCTCATCTAGTTGTGACATTTTTCCCAATTTTTGGTTTTTTTGGCTTTGAGGTTTTAAATATACAGTGTCTGCTGCCATCTGGTGGTATTTTCTAGCAGATGCAGCCTGTGAAATAGATACTCTAACCCCCATGGTCTCCAAATTGTTTAGCTCCCTGGGTCTTTAAAGCATGAGTCTATATTAAGATTCCTGGATAACTGAATTTCCAAGAAAATGCTTAACCTGCCACTTTAAATTCTGAAGCAAATAGTGTGGTCACAGTTAAGAGCTAGAGTTGGATTTCAGGCTGAACACCCCATCTTGATATTTAATGGTTCCGTGACATTTGTCCATTACCGAACTTCTCTTAAGCTTAACTTCCTCTTCTGTGAAATGTGGACATTGATGGCACCATCCTTCCAGGAGTGAGGGTTCCACGGGATAATGCGTGTCAGTGCTTGAAACAGTGCCTGGCCCTTAGGAGTAAGCCCTCGATATATCTTTGGTTGATGGTGAAGATGATAAGGATGTAAGTCAGTGGTTCTCAATCCCAGACAGTGAAGTCAGAACACCCAGATAGGCAAGCCCACTCTCCAGACATTTTGATTTAGTTGGTCCCAGAGTAGGAGAGTGGGTAGAGGCAGGCAGTTGGCTAACAGGGTATCAAGATGTTCTCCAAACTCCCCAGGTGATTCTACCAAAGGAAGTGACCCATGGAAAAGCCATGTGTTCTTTTGCAGGTCACCGACCACCCAGTGTCATCTAGTCAGTCAACAGCATTTATGGAATATTTGCTGTGGACAGAGTACAAGTGGGGCATGAGAAAAAGTCAACATGGTACCTGCTCCATCTATGACATTCCAAGGAGGAGGAATAAATGGCAAAGGGCAGGTGGTGTCATAAGCAGTTGCAGGTTATGGCGTGTGGGCCTCATGGCTACTCGGAGAGAGAGAGCCCCAGAGAGAAAGAAGAGAGGCAGAGAGACCATGGGAGAGAAGGTTGAGTTTTCAGGGCCAGTTGTGTCCAGAGGAGAGGTTAGAAACAACGGATGAACTGTCCCCTTCCCCACCCCCTGCTGCCACCACCTCACACACAGACATGGGCATGGGCACGGCTCAGCTACGGAGCAACCAGTGGTCATGGCCCCACTGCCCAGCATGACGAATGCTCGTCCAGCAATGAGCCCGACTCCACTTATCTGCTTCAATTGAAATATGGTAAATGACCCACAGTAACTGAATTTTTTTATTCTTTCGGTTTATTTTTAGGATTTGGGGATTTTTCAGCATCCTTGCCATCTTGCTTTGCATTTTGTTTAGGCGGCTAGGAACCTGTGCTTAGGTTTGTTTTTGTTTTTTGTTTTTTATCCTCACCCGAGGATATTTTTCCATTTTTTGTACAGATAGAGTGGGAGGGAGAGAGAGGAAGGGGGAGAAAGAGGGAAACATCGACGTGAAGGGACACATCGAGTGGCTGCCACCACACGACCAACCAGGGCCGGGGACAAACTGCAACCGAAGTACGTGCCCTTAGCGGGAACCGAACCCGGGTCTCTCTGGACCGCAGGCCGACGCTTTAACTGCTGAGCCAAACTGGCCAGGGCTGTGCTTAGGTTTTTATAGCACTAGCAGTAGGCCCAGCGGCAGGCGTGAGGCCTGAGCCCTGCACACTGGGTACCTGGAACAGCTAAACAATATACAAATGCATGCCCGCCAACCCTGACCATCCCCAACCGTCTAAGGGACTTCCAGTCACGTGTGCACATGTACAGATGTGGCAAAGTAGGTTTACAGTTGTGAGTATGCGAAAGTTTATTCTTGTATTATTATTATTTATTAATATTGTATTATTTTCCATGTGAACATCTGTAAAGCTAGTTTTGCCCCACCCTGTATGTGTGCTCTCCCTTTTAAAGAAAAGTCAGTAGAGTCAACAGAAAGATGGTGATGTTGCTACTTTTAAATATCCATGACAGATTGACAAACCTCAGAGGGAAGGGGGGAGGATGGGAATAGATAAACCGAAGAGCTGATGTGCATGTATGCATAACCAGTGGACACAGACACAGTGCGGAGAAGGTGAGGGGGTGTCAGTGGGAGAAAAAGGAGGGACATCTGTAATACTTTCAACAATAAAGATAAACTTAAAAAAATAATAATAAAAATAAAGTATCCGTGACGTATCGTTTAAAAACAAGTGGCAAAACAATATGAACTGTATAATCAATTTATCTTTTTAAACTAAACAAGTACATTGTATATGTAAATAAGTATAAAATACTTGGCTCATCAGTAGATAAGTGGACAAAGGAGCTGTGGTACATATATATAATGGAAAATATACTTGCCCATAATAAAGAATGAAATCTTAACCATTTGTGACAGCATGGATGGACCTAGACAGTATGATGCTAAGTGAAATAAGTCAGACAGGAAAAGACAAATATCATATGATTTCACTTATATGTGGAATCTAAATAACAAAATAAATGAACAAACAAAATAGAAAATAGACTCACAGACACAAACTGTTGGTTGCCAGGGGGTGGGGTGGGGTGGGGCTGGGTGAAAAAGGGGAAGGGATTGAGAAGTACAAATTGGAAGTCATAAAATAGCCACGGGGATGTAAGGTTCAGCATAGGAAATATAGTCAATAATGTAATAACTGTGTATGGTGTATGATTGTCTAACCACTGTGCAGTACACATGAAAACATAATAATATTGAATGTAAACATTTAACAAAAATAATTGAATTGTAGATGAAAAAATAAAATGTACACAAGAAAAAATGTATAAAATACTTCACAAGATACTGTTAAGTAGTGGCTTCCTCTAGAACAGAGGAAAAACTAGAGGTCACACCAGAGATGAAAACAAAGTTGCATTTTTACCCCATGTACTGCTGGAAGGTTCACATTTTTGCAATGAGCATAAATGAGTTTTATAATTCTTTTAAATATTAGCAACAGTAGTCAGGACCTAATAAATGAATCATATGCTGCCCTTGTCTATATACAAATGTATGTGATAAGTGTGAACATACAGGTTTGGGTGCACCTATGTATGTGTGTGTGTACAGAAAATATACACATGTAAAGTATATGTGGTATCTATGAACACATATGTCATACTATGGTGTGTGAGGACATGTAGGTGTGCATAGTACATACATATATATAGTAAAAGTATACACATGTACTCATAAAATTACTTTTGGCTTATGTGTTACTAAATTCTGTGAAAGTATATAAAATCTCCTATTGAAATAGCAGATTTTACCTTGGAACCTCCTAAAACGTTTTACATACAATAAAAGGTACTTGCTGACATTTTCCCAAAGTTGAGATGATCCAGTGTTTCACTTTGTCTTTATCATCTCCCACTAAAATAGCATATACATAAACATCTTGTTCAACCAGAGCACAGCCTGGTCAGAAAAGTCTTTGGGGAGAAAATAATTAAGCTGCATTTTATTTATTAGACCACACTGTGACCTTTAGGTAGACTCAGAACAAATCCCAAATTCTGAGCTCTAAACCCTCATACAACATATTTCTTCGACTGTCGTGGTGTCTGATTTGGCAAGAACTCCTTGTTTTGCATTTTAGTTAGCTTTTCTACATTAAATTCGAATGTCATTTTTTAAATCGTATAAGGAGAGAACTTCTATGCTGGCCAGTGGCCGGGTAACGTAAGCCCACGTTAAGCAAAGCACAGCCCCAAGGCGACAGCAGAGTTCAATAACACTTATTGAACTACATACACTCAGTGGGTGAGCTTTATGGTATGGAAATTACCTCACTAAGGCTGTTAAATAGATTTTTAAAGTTCATCTTAAAAGAGAGTAATTTATAATCTCCATCCACAACAAAAAGGTGTTTTCCTAACCGATGGCTCCTTTATTTCTAGGACTATGAGGGAGCGCCAGATTCTGGGGGGCCGGGAGGGCACGGGGTCACAGTGGGATCTGGCCGTGTGGGTGGCTCCCTGAACCACAGGGGACCCGCCTCAGCCAGCTGAACAAACTCTTTGCTCTCCCCACAGGAAGACTACAACCAGCTGCGCCCTCTCTCGTACCCCAACACCGATGTGTTTTTGATCTGCTTCTCGGTCGTAAATCCTGCCTCTTACCACAATGTCCAGGAGGAGTGGGTCCCGGAGCTGAAGGACTGCATGCCCCACGTGCCTTACGTCCTCATAGGGACCCAGGTCGGATAAAGGGCGGCGACGGCAGGCCAGGGCAGGCAGCGGGAGGGTGGCCGAGAGGAGAAGACCCGTCCGGTGTCTCCTGAACATCCTAGTCCACAAACACTGTAGAAGAGGATCTCAGAGAGAGGGGTCCTGTGAACAGCCATTCCTAAGATCTGCATAATTATTTAGCCATAGTTGAAAAGACAATAGAGCTATTTAATGTGAAGCAGGAAGTTTTGGTGTGACCTTTACAAATTAATCTCTCGGCCTCTTATTTTTAAATAACAAATTGCCTTGAGCCAGAGCAATGAAGTGGGGATGTCAGTTACACTATCACCTAATGTATTTTATATCTAAGAACCATGCTTCTTTGAAAGTCACAGAATAGGTGTGAATGTCAAAGTGACCCCAGCAATCAGAATGGTCACATTGTGACAGCGGGCCTTGGTAACCCCTATACCCCTCCAGACGCCCTGGTCTCCAGGTCTCAGAGCCCCGTAAAAGCAGATACACCGGGCAAACAGCACTGCCGCTGGGGAAACCTTGAAAGTGTTTCGAGAGCTAATAAAGTTTCATGGTTTGAATTTGCAACAGTAATTCCACAAAGGCGTTCAATATTGTTCCCACTTTTTAGAGTTTTAAACAGCTTTTGTTCTTTGCTATGTTAAACCCAAATTTCTATCCCAAAGACGGAAAAAGGAGAAATCCTGAAGGGTTTTGTTGTTACCTGTTTCGCAGGCTGCCACTTTCTGTCTTTCATTGTATATGCTGCATGACAACGAGAAATTTTTTAAAGAACACAAAAGAAAGAAAAATAATTTCCAGAGACGATATGGACATATAATTAAGACATTCATAAGTCACAATTCAGTTGATGCTTCTGCTCTGAAAGTTAATTATTTAAGTGAAGTTCTTTGCCTCGACTCTAGACCATAGTGTTTGACCATATTCATGGAGATGGGACCTCCTGCTGCCAAGATAGGTGATGGGACATGCGAACATCTGCATATGATTCGAGCACTAAGTTGAACAATTAAGGCCAAAAACAAAAAAACTACACAAATTAGTAAGGCTGCCCAATATGCTTATAAATGGGACCCTAACATATATATTGGTTTTTGTTTAAAACACAAACTGGGTTCTCATACACAGTGAGATTTCAAAGCAACTAAAATATTTAAGTAGATTATAAAACCTAATCCAAACATGCATGCTCTTTTCAGAGTCGTTCTACCTTTGAAAAGATTAATGAGCAAACCCTTTGGAAATCCCTCTTCAGGACTTGCCCTCAGAGCCCACAGCATACTTGTTAGAAGATCCTCACGGGTGGCAAATCTTCATCCCTTTGAGGGCGATGATTTGGTTTAGAAAAGCCAAATTATTTGCCAGAAAATAGCCTATTAAAATGAATACTATAATTTGGGATCAAATGAGTATCATTGTAAGGTAATGAGACGAATCAATTATCTTGTATGTCCTATCAGATTGCGCTAGAAATAAATAGGAAATTTCAAAAACATCTGAGACAGCCACAGAATCATTGGATCAAGTCCTCTGCTCCAGGGTCACTCCTTTGAAGGGAAAGGACAAGAAACACTGATACATACATTTACAAAGAAGTCACTTTAATTTTTAGACATACTATGGGTGTGTGGATGTGCTTCCTTAAAGAAAAATCTGCCAACTTCATAGGTGTCAAGGTGCGGGGAATCTGTTATGTCACAGTTTAAAATACCTGATCATGCCTGAAAGAAAGAATAAATTTATCACATGTGTTTTTTGCCAGATTGATCTCCGTGATGACCCCAAAACCTTGGCCCGTTTGCTGTACATGAAAGAGAAACCGCTCACTTACGAGCACGGCGTGAAGCTGGCCAAAGCGGTATGGTCAGACCTGAATTTGATGTTAAATGCATGCTGAGAAGCGTTTGGCGTATGCTTTGGAATGTGTGAGCTACGGAGGCTTTTGCGCTGAAAGTGCACGGTGTTCAGAGTCTTCTCTCGGCTTTAGATCCTCCCCTCTGTTCCTGTTAGGCCAGAGGGACCATTTGGTTAGCGTTCTTGTCAGCCAGCATTATCTGTTTTTTATTAAGAAAGAAACTTGGTGAATTTCAAAACAGCTGAAGCACTTAGCATTTGATTTAGCAACCTCTGGAATATCCACTTGCCATATTTCGTATGAATAAAGAGAGTCATTAGATATGTATTTGTAAATCTCACTGCTTATTATCAGTGTAACTCATTTAAATGACCCCATAAAAGGCATTTTGTGGTTTTCTTGGGAGAAACTTAGGTAAAGCATCTGGCAGGGTTATATTTGTTCAGTATGTCTCACCACATAATGCATGGCCACTGAGAGAGGCTGGCTTATGTCACAAACAGCATCTGGAGGAGTAAGAGACCGAAGGCGACGAGCTGGAGAATCCAGCCGCGGGTGACAGCAGCGCTCACAGCTGGAATGGCTTCCACAGACCTTTCTGCACTCTTGAGAGCTTAATGTGAATAGTCATTTGGGGGGCCGGGGGGGGGGTACTTTAGAAAATATTTGCCAGATACCAAATCTTTGTCTCCCAATAACCACCAGGATGTGTGGAAAGGCAGACACTACAATAGACAAAGGGGAAGAGGGACTTCATGCACGAAAAGGGTTATAAATCCTTTTTCATAACCTGAATCCACCCTTCATTGATTTAGCCACAAATCTATCAACCCAGGCCACAGGTTTCAGAAATTTTTGTTATGTTCTAAAGAAATTAACCCTGCAAAGTGCATGCCTTAAGCTGTTAGGAGGCACCTGTTTGAACTGATCAAGAACAAATTAACTGTAAATGTTTCATTAACAACAGCATATGTGTTCCTCTTATTAAAATTTTCATAGAGGTGAAGGGATCAAGCACAAAAGAAAAGAGAGAGAGAACTCATGGCCGTGGACAGCAGTGTGCTGTCTGGGGAGGGTGGTGGAGGGCATAGAGGGGATAAATGGTGACGGAAAAAAGAAAATAAATGTTTAAAAAAGAACTTTCATATAAGTACCAAAACTAAGTACAATACACTTGAATAGAAACCAGTTCAATAAAATTGTTTTTATGGGTGTGATACATGAGAATATCGCACAAATACTTGAGACTGAATGCTTCCTACTTCTGTGAATAGTAATATCAGAACTGCCCGTGTGAGCCTTTCTTGGACTTCTTATAAAAATTGTTTTTCCTTTATTGATTTTGAGAGAGAGTAAGTGAGAGAGAGAGAGAAACATCAATGAGATGGAACATGGATTGGCCGCCTCCTGCATGCTCCCCACTGGGGATTGGGCCCACAACCTGGGCATGTGTCCTGACCAGGAATCGAACTGACAACCTCTTAGTGCATGAGTCGACGCTCAACTACTGAGCCACACCAGCCAGACTCTTGGAGTTCTTAGTATACTCTGCACTTTACTTTTTTTAATTTATCTTTATTGTTGAATGTATTACAAATATTCCTCATTTTTTCCCTATTGACCCCCTCCTTCCCATTCCTGCCCCCCTCCTGGCTTTCCCCACAGTGTTGTCTGGGTTCATTGGTTATGCATATATACATATAAGTTCTTTGGTTTACCTCTTCCCACCCCCATTCCCCCTTTCCCTTTGAGGTTTGTCAGTTTAACAGCCAATTTGTACTTCTTAATCCCTTCACCGTTTTCACCTGTTCTCCCAACCCCCCTCCCATCTGTCAACAAACAAAATGTTCTCTGTATCTATGAGAATGCTTCTGTTCTGCCTGTTCATTTTGTTTGTAGATTCCATTGTCGATAGATATGTATTTATTGCCATTTTGTTTGCTCATATTTTTTTATCTTTTTCTTCAAGAAGACCCTTCAACATTTCATATAATAATCATTTGGTGGTGATGAACTTTAGCTTTTCCTTGTCTGGGAAACTCTTTATATGGCCATTGATTCTAAATGACAGCTTTGCAGGATAGAGTAATCTTGGTTGTAGGTTCTTGCATTTCATCACTCTGAATATTTCTTGCCACTCCCTTCTGGTCTGCAAAGTTTCTTTTAAGAATCAGCTGACAGCCCTGGCCGGTTTGGCTCAGTGGTTAGAGCGTCGGCCTGTGGTCCAGAGAGACCCGGGTTCGGTTCCCGCTAAGGGAGCGTACCTCGATTGCAGTTTGTCCCTGGCCCTGGTTGGTCATGCGGGTGGCAGCCACTCAATGTGTCCCTTTCACATTGATGTTTCTCTCTCTCTCTCTTCCTCTCTCTCCCTCCCACTCTATCTGAACAAAAAATGGAAAAGTGTCCTCCTTGGGTGAGGATAAAAAAATAAAATAAAATAAAGAAATCAGCTGACAGTCTTATGGGAACTCCCTTGTAGGTAACTAACCACTTTTCTCTTGCAGCTTTTAAGATTTTTCTCTTTGTCTTGAACCTTTGCATTTTGATGATTGTGTTTTGATGTGGCCTCTTGGGGTTCATCTTGCTTGGGACTGTCTGTGCTTCCTAGACTTATATGTCTGTTTCCTTTCCCAAGTTAGGGAAGTTTTCTGCCACTATTGTTTCAAATAGGTTTTCGATTTCTTGTTCTCTCTCTTCTCCTTCTGGCACCCCCAAGATGCGAATGTTGGCACGCTTGAAGTTGTCCCAGAGGCTCCTTACACTATCCTCATTTTTTTTTTTTATTCTTTTTTCTTTTTGCTGTTCTGATTGGGCATTTTTTGCTTCCTTATATTCCAAATTGATGGTTTGCTTCTTGGATTTACCTACTCTACTATTGAATCTGTGTAAATTATTCTTTATTTCAGTTAGTGCCTCCTTCATTTCTGACTGTGCATCTTTCATTTCTGACTGCTTCTTTTTATTTTTGCTCTTGAGGCCCTCACTAAGTTCACTGAGGTTCTCACTAAGTTCATTGAGCATCTTTATAAGCAGTATTTTGAACTCAGCATCTGTTAGGTTGCTTATCTCCATTTCGCTTAGTTCTTTTCTTGGGGTTTTGTTCTGTTCTTTCATTTGGAACCTGTTTCTTTGTCTCCTCATTTTGGCTGCCTCCCTGTGTTTGTTTCTGTGTATTACTTAATGAGAGGTATAGGGCTAGCTGAGACCAGATGCTGCTCGTTTGAAAGAATTTAGGACAACCTGAAGCAGGATCCAAGACAGGCTGATCCTATGGTAAAACAACGGGCAACAGCTTGGGTGGGCCTGAAAGTTGGGTGGGGCGGGGCCTCAAGGAATCACCAGGGCGGGGCTACCAGTGTGAACCAGGTTGCTGGAGTCCCAGATATGGCGACTGTCTGCCGCCCCAGGGAAGGGCTCACCAAAGGAAAAAGACATCTGTCCAGGAGAAAGCCGCCTCTCCAGCCCTCGTTCCAATGACAAACTACTCAGTTCTTCCCCATATGTCTCTAGTGCCTTTCAAGCTGTCTCCCCCACACTGGGGCCTGGAGGGTGTGAGTCCGATAAGTCCGTGCGCGGGCCCTTTAAGGAGCTGCCTGGGGCTCCAGCCGCCTCAGCCTCCCTGAGACTCAGTTCCCGCTGGTTTTTCCAGCCAGAAGTTATGGGGATTCTCTTCCTGGCACTGGAACCCTGAGCGGGGCACCTGGTGTGGGACGGGGACCCCTCAGTCCTCAGGAAGGACCTTCCCAGCCGAGGTGTCCTCCTGATTTTTATCACCACACGTGGGTGTGGGACCAACCCGTCTGCCTCCGCCCCTCCTACCAGTCTCGATGCAGCTTCTTCTTTAACTCCGTAGTTGTAGGACTTCCATTCAGTTCGATTTCAGGTGGTTTTGAATAATGGTCGTTCTGTAGTTTAGTTGTAACTTTGATGTGGTTGTGGGAGGACCCGATACCGCGGTTACCTACGCCGCAGTCTTGACCGGAAGTCCTAGTATACTCTGCACTTTGTAAGCTCTGTCTCATTCCAGCCTCGTGCTAACTCTGCTAAGCAGACAGTGTTTGTCTCTTCTTACAGATGAGGAAACAGAGTCTTAGGAAGATAAACATGTTTAATTCACACAGCTGATAATAACACAAACAATTTTACTCCAGCTCTGTGGACGTCACACCTGTGTGCCTGACCATGTGTAAATTGCCTCCAACCATTTATTTTCCCTCCTGTAAAATGGTTATATAGGTTCTTCTATCTTTTCCTCAAACATCCAGCTTAAATGATCTTGCTAAGGTGCACAAACATATACCTCCATAAATAATTGTGCCCTGGCCAGTTTGGTTCAGCGGTTGAGCGTCAGCCTGCAAACCGGAGAGTCCCGGGTTCAGTTCCCGCTAGGGGCACGTATCACCAAAAAAATAATAATAATAATTGCATGTGACTCCCAGCCTTACATTTTCCACCACAAGGCGGTCCCGGAGGCCCAGCACCAGCTTTTTGCAGGAGTGTTGTTTCTGTATCCCTTGCTTTTGGCCTGTCTCCCACCATCATCAGCGTCCTGGCCTGACTTCTCATTTGGAAAGTTGTTTTTTCCCTCTGAAAAGAAGTCGTTCCAAAGCCTCCCATCTCATTTTGTACTTATTTTAGGAACAATGGCTGAGTTCGCCACTTGATCGCCTTTTGCCAGTTTCTCCTAGCAACCGCGCTCAGATACAGAGAGAATCATGTTTAGCTTACAAAATCCAATTTAGAAGAAAACTAAGCAAGAGTTTAACTTGTTTCATCACAATTTGTATAATTATAGAGATGCTTGAAGTTTCTCTGCTCCCTGACTTTCCTGTCAAGTCGTTTATAATAACAGCTGGCATGTAGGGGTGCTTGCGTGTGCTAGGCTTGGTGCCAAGCGCTTTGCATGCCTTGTCTTCATTAATCCTCACAGCGGTCCCGAGGTGTGTGTTCTTCTCCCCACCTTCCTAGAGAAAACAGACTCAGAGTGGAGTCCCACCACTAGG